GCCAGCCCGTGACCCCCCCCTGCTGCACAAAGAAACCAGCAGCATTTTCCTCCCAGCAGACAGCATCCCACTGAAATCCACTGGCAAACTGCACCTTCCCAGCCCACTGGAAGCAAAGGAGATAGAAGAGGCTGGAAACAGCATGGAAGTCACGGGTCTCCCTGGGAGCTTTTCCCACTGGGACTAATAAAAACCAAACCAACCCAGGGCAAAAATTAAACCAACACCAACTTGTTGTGTTGTAGATAGAGCAAGACTCTGCTTCCTTGGGAAATGTGTTACTCATAAAGGCTCCTCACCCGAAGCTCTCAGCCCAAGCACTGCGGTGTCAGCCCCATTGCAGGACTCATTCTATGAACTTACAGATGTGAAGTCTTTAAATAAGCACCACCAGACCTTGGTTAAATAAAGAGCTGGCCATTTGTGTTGCCTCCCTTCCAACCACTGCTCCCAACACCCGCTCTATCCCACTGGCAAACAGGGGCAACAGAAGGGACACATGAGCCTCTTAACTGAAACGCAGGGAATGACACACACTGGTGGGGACACAACTATCAGTTCCTGCTCAGATTTATGCCTCCACATGAGGTTCAGCCATGATTGATTCCTGGTCAAAGCCGACAAGCTCTGGGCTTGATGGATTGGGCATCTCTTCTTTGCCACCCTTTAGGTCTCCAGATGTCCTGCTATCAGTTTGGAGCCCTGTCCCTGTGAACTGTGGAAAGACAGAGGCTTTCCACGGAGAGGGTAAGGAAGGCAGGTATATGTAATACCAAATTTGTGCCTTTGCTTCTGCAGAGGGCAGGATAAGGTGGTTGGTTTGTAGCCAAAGCCATGGGGTATGTGTCTCCAAAGACATGTGCCAAGACCCAACGGGTACAACTGGAGCCATAATACAACTGGCAATAAGTCAGATTTTTAAGGGTCTCCATTCAACATCTTGGCATCTGAGGTGAAGTGGGGATTAGAGTACAAAGAGACCCCAAAGCCAGCCCAAACCATGAGCCATTGGCCGCTTAGGCCTTGCTCTGGTGCTGTGAGTCTGCCGAGCTCCAACTTCCCCTCCAACCCAACTATCCCATGACTTTAGTGAGGGAACTCAGCTCTTCTTTGAGATTTCTAACCAAAAACCTTTTTGGAAGATCCCTCCATTTCCCTAGCCTATTGTTTCTGTATCCCTGTCTCTAGGCTGAACCATCTAGGAGCTAACACCATCTAGGTGGCAGCAAGTTCCAGGACAGGGGGTAGATGCTCACTAAAAGAAGAGAAAAATGAGGACAATTAAACTAGCATTATTTCTCTCTTTTTTTTGCAGGGACTCAGAAGAGGATGAAGATGCTGCTCTGCCAGCCAGAAGTGTCAGGATTTGGCCACATGGATTGTACCTGGATTGTACCAGGTCAAGAACTGCTCTTACACTAGAAGCTCCCTATTCTTCACGTGGTTGGATTGATGCTACATAAAGCAAAGGAGCACTGCAAAGCCTCCTGTCCCCTCTGTGCTCCCCCCAGACAAGGCCACCAAGCTGAGATCTGAGTGTACTGTCAGAGCTCATCACTGAGCACTTCCACCATCAAACCCTGCATGGAGGAGGTGAAGAGTTCTCATGGTCAAAGGAGGCTGAATTCAAGCTTTCTGTCCCTATCCTGACCCCAGCTCAAGAGCTTCATAGCTGAAGCCCTGGACCATTCACCTGGACAATCTGCTGTGTGATGGACCCATAAGCATGGGCAAGGAAAACATTTCTCCTCTTACCAGGGCAGAAACATCTCCAAGCCTTCAAAGCAACTATTCCCAAGGCTTTATCCTCACCCTTTGCAAGTCATGGCACAGCCTGTGGTGACCGGGAAGCACATGGGATTGTGAAGTCTCCTAGATAAGAGGGATTGGGGCTGTCCCCATCGCAATGACAAGCCACCTCCTATTACCCCTGGGGACAAAGCATCACCTATTGTAGCAGCAGGAGGACACAGCAGGCAGGAGGGATGGTGACCACCCAACAGGACTGTTGTAATACAGGATCAGGCTTTTATCAGCACAATCTCTCACCCTTCCCAACCAGTGCAGACCCTTTGACCATTGCTGCCTTCCCTGTGAGACATAGGAATCAATAGCCTGGAATGGGGCAGGAGAAGCTCAAGGGACCAAGGGCTGTCCCACCGTATGGAGGCTTGGACAGGCCAGAATGTGCAATATGGCAACCCTGGGGCCATGCATTATATGGTCCCACCTCACTCAGCACCACAGCCCATCCCATCAGATGGCCATCCCTGCTGTGCAACAGGGCTTGTCCCCACTGGGAGAGGAGTCACACTGGGAATCGTAGAATGGTTTGGGTTGGAAAGGACCTTAAGATCATCTAGTTCCAACCTCCCTGCCATGAGCAGGGACACCACACACTAAACTATGTCGCCCAAGCCTCTGTCCAGCCTGGCCTTCAACACCTCCAGGGTTGGAGCATTCACACTGGAATGGCTCCAAGCTCCTCCTCTGCCTACGTGTGGTGGCACGAAGCCATCTCCAACCCTTCTGCAGGTACTGTAGGTGTCTAACCTGCCTTCCTCACCCTTTATCCCAATAGATGAACCCTCTGAAGCTAATGTCTCTGGAGAGTCTATGTTTTGGAAGGCACACAAACCTTTGGAGATACCCAACACAGGGCACTGAAGGCACCTCAAGTTGGGCAGCCTAAAACCACACGACACTGTGTGTCTAGTCCTCCTTGTCCCCAAAAACTGCGATCCTCTACAGCTGAGGGGTGAGCAGCAGCGAGCCCAAGGGACACCCAGAGCATCCACTGGGCCACAGGTATGACAGTGGATGTTACCCAATTGTGACCCAGTGCCATGGGTCTCAGATGGGAGAAAGAAAGGCCAGAGGACGTGTGGAAGACAAACATGTTATTTTCTTCAGGTTTTTTTACCTTTAATTAGCAAATTTCTTCTTACCCTCATCAAAAGAAAACCCACCCCCTGCCCTACGTGCCCACCGCTCCAGCTGCTGCAAGCGTTCAAAGGCAGAGAGTGGAAGAGATGTTTCATGTCTGGGCTGAGGGGCAGCTCTGAAACACTCCCCATGGGCATGTGCCGGGGGGGGTTGGGGTGCCAGATGCTGTGTTACAGATGTGGGAAAGGCAGGAGCAAAGTTTGGTAACGTGCTCTTGTGAGGAGCACCCAAAATCCCCCAGGGAAGCTGCAGCCCAGCCCCTTGGCCAGCAAACACAGCAATGGAGGACATGGATGTGCTCCAAGAGGCACATCCCCACGGCTATTGCAGGCAGAATGGGGGCTTGCGCCATGGATCAGTGGTGGGGACACGACAGAAGAGAACCCACCACTCTGTGCATTGAATTTGGAAGCTGTAAGTAAGAGCACCCAAACTTTGAGGGGCATCAGTGCTGAGCCTGCACCCTGGCACAGTGGGTGCCTTAAAGCCCTGCCATGGACACCTCATGCAGCAAGCCCCAAGTGCAGCATCCCGGCTGGCATCAAGGTAATGGGGAGATGGTGAGTGGTAGAGGAGCGAGGAGAAAGGGAATGGTGCCAGGACTTAGCTCAGCCCTTCCCACGACCTCAAGGCCAGCACCAAGCTCTAAGACCCTTTTATCTCTCCCTCCTATCACCATCTTCCCCCTGAGGCCATTGCACAATCCCCACCTCTGTCCCTGCTGCTGCAGCCCTTATTTATAGGGAAGAGGCGGGAAAGGGTTTTTATGGGGGTGCTCCAGCCCTCCTGCTCCCCATCCCTTCTCAGCTGGCACCGTCCTGCCTCATCACCCCAAACCAAGCACCCTTCGCCCATCCCTCTCAGTGCAATGGGAGAGGAAAGGGAGGAGGAGGAAGGCAATGAAGAACCATCACGAGCTCACTGCTAATGCCAAGAACCAAAGGGCAGTGCTGCCTTCCCTCCTTGGGGCTGTAGCTGGAGAGAGCAGCCCTTTTCAGGGGTCCAAGATGATGGTGCTGTGAGTGCTGGAACATGGTGGTGGTGCTCCAAGTCCCCCCTACCCCCCAGCCCTGGCAGCGGGGCAGCGTGTGGGGATGCGCAGGGCTGGGCGAGGAGGTGAAGGGGTGGGATGTGTGCGAGCGCCCGGGTGTCTGTGTGCACGGGTTTTGGCAAGAGGTCATTGAGGTTACATGATGCAGCATTTGTTCTTGTGGTTATGAGGGTCCTTAAATCGGAGTCTCTGCTTTGGTCGGTATTTTTCCAAGTACGTCAGCTGCTTGCTGTTGATGGCTCCTCTGCGCTTCCTGCGGGGACAGAGGAGTCAGCACAGTCAGTGGGGTGGTAGGAGAAGATCCCCCCCTCCCAAACCCACCCCGTTGGGTGCTGAACCCCCAATTGGGTGCTGATTTTGGAAGCTGTGGCCATGTGAATTCTCCAGGGATGGCGACAAGCACTGACCCCAGTGGCTTTTCTTGCTCATCAACCCTGCAAGTCTCAGGACACGGAGAGATAGGGAGGAAAACAGTAGCTGCCAGAAGCAGGGTGCCTGCTGAAAGGCCCCCAGGGATGCTCCCAGCTGGTGCTACAGCTCCTGATGCAAAGGTGCTTTATGCCAGCACCTCCCTTGTCCTCCCCCAAAGGACTGTGAAGCCAGGTTACACCAGCAGATAAGCTGGAAAGCTGCTCAGTGGAGAAGGAGCTGGGGTTGCTGGTTGACAGCCACTGAACATGAGCAGCTTGTGCCAAGGCAGCCAAGAAGCGACCTGCAACCCGGCCT